CTAGTCTTGTAGTTTGTATAGCCAGAGAAACACATTGGTAGCAGATTATATGGCGTCACCATCACTCGGGCGGTCACATACACGGAGGACAGAATAAAGCCTTCGCTGCGGAGTTATTAGAAAATGTCAACTGACCAGTTACAGACTATCGGACAGGGAAGCAAAACTCTCATTTGCATCTTATTTACAACTGAACATTCATCTTCTCTTGAACGCGTCCTCCTGAAATTTACTGGATATTCATGACTGCTGCTCAAATCCAAGCAAATGCTACAAAGTCACTCCACAAATTCCTTAACAGATCTTCCTTTTCAAGAGAAGCAAAGCGGATTTACAAGAAGAAAACATACTACTCGCGTGCCTCTCCCATCAGTAGTATCATCGCTACAATGGTAGCTGTGCCTGTTATGCAGTTCTCGATCAGAAACTATACCGTAGACATAACACCAGAGCATCAACTTACCTGACTGATATCTGAACACCATGCAGCTTTTTCTTGAAGCGTGGAGGCCACAAGCCAAATACTGGTTGGCTGACCGTTTTTGGGCTCCCAAATGAGTCGAAAATCGAGATTCCCGTAATCTGCCTTGTCATTTCCGCTACTGTTTATCGGGGTGGCGGTAGATGTACTCAACATACTGAAGTTGCTACTTAAACGGTGGATCAGAGGAAGTGGAGGGATGTTAGGGAAACCGCTGGAAGTAGGCAGAGAATTGACCACATTCGCGTCTGACGTGGGACCAGCAGCTGTCCTCGAACCACTGTCTGTTTCCGTAGGGGCTGTGCACAATGATGTGGAATGTCGATGAGGGACAGCTGTTGTTGAACCAGCCCAAGATCTGGTCGTCGTTCCCGATGGACAGCCCGACAAGGCGGACCCGCTTGAATGACGGGTCGCATTGTCCGATGGCGTCAGTCTTCTGGATGGAGTCATTCCCGAGGTCAACGGACCTGAATCAGCGCGAATCGGAGGTTTGTGACATATCTGGCTGCCGGGCATGGTTGCCATGGTCGTCGAAGTGTTGTCCTTTGAGGGGGTTGTTGCAAAGTTGTTCGGAGCACTTATGGAAACAGGTGCTCGGGCGGCGGGGGAAAATGGATCTAAAGAACGTCGTCCAACGTTCCCCATTGTTTGTTCACTCAAAGGAGGTCCTATGCATGGTGTTGGGAAGAAAAGGGTAGAGAGGTGGAATTGAACAACCGCAGCCAAATACTGACTCCAATGGGTCACTCCAAAGAGTGGTGAACACAGCTCATAATTAGCGGGGTCCCTGAGAGCACGATTGCACACTGAAGAAAACAACAGACAGTCTGAGATTCCATATCGTGACAAATTTGCGAAAATCAACAACAGTATCTTAACCTTTCACATTAAAAATGGCCAGCAAGGAGACACCGGTGGAAGGTCGAGAACTAGTATAAATTATCAACTGGTCCCGAGAAGGGTATTAGGTGGTCAGATAACAAACGAATTTGTTTAAGTTATTGATAGAGCAGCAAGTCAAGGACGCATGTCCCATGTGAGATCGTACAAGGTGAAACAAGTACTTTGGAAAAATCGCGTGTGCACACAGGCCAAGTTTATACGGTAACTGCCTCAGCTAATGGTGGCGGACGAATTCCATCTAGTTTAGGGTAATGACCTGAGACGCGGCCGAGACATTTGATCGATACTCACCTTTTGTCTGATAAGGTCGGCCGTTTCGTCGATCCACTAGTACTGAGTGTAGGCGGGTAGTGTTCACGAACGCTTTCAGACAGAAGCCAACAAAACTCGAGCCGCATGAATAAGTGATATTCTACCGATGGAAAGAATCACTGGATTTCGGCAAAATTTCAACCATTTGTCATGGCTTCGGTTACGTGGTGGCTAGTTACCGCATCAGTAGTATCTTCTCTGAAAAGTTAGATGTATAAGATATTCTTCCATGGTACATGTATGTAAATGATGAATGTTTCTCTTGGATGTTTGCGGCAGTGGATTTCAAGAGAGTAGCTACTCGGAATGAACAGGTTAGACTGACAGGAGAGCTCTTGAACAGAATTTCCGGTACACATCCTTCTAGCTCTCCCTGTCTGGTAACAAGCAAAGTTACGTTTCTGTTCGAGAAGAACAAAGCTAAACAAAGCGAAGACTGTTTGGATTTGCTTTCCATCATGGACTTTATGTTCACATAGGGTGCTGAAAGTGTAGGAGACTTAGTCTTTTCCTCAGCTTGTCTATATCCCCGTCATCGATGACGTTTTCGTGAATATATACCTTTGTCAAGGCACTTCCGTGACATGCGCAAGCTTGCCAGTTTGCTGGCGAATTCATGTCAACCTGACTCTTTTGAATTCGCTGCTCTATCGAAATCTTACATTCCGCGTGTAAGTCTTCAGTGGGTCCCCACGCCCGGTTGACTGTCGCGAGCAGTTCAACATAGATCTTCAACTCTTTCTTGTAGAGGGCTGCTTGTAAATAACTACCCCAAAACAAACTCTACTATCATGTCTTCACAGCCTAGTAAGTCTTTGTACCTAAGCCGTGGTCAGGTCAACAAAGTTCCAAGACTAAATCAATCCCCATTGGGACTTATTAGGGTGTCCTTAGGTAACAATTTCAGGCCGCCTATCTCAAGTCCAAGCAATCAATTCCCAGAGAATCAGACGGCCTAGTAAAAAGCAACTGAATACAGAATCTTCTGAGTAACTCAAGGTCTCTTAAAGTCAACGGTTTAATGGCGGCTAGTCACGATAAAAAAAGCACAACAAATGATAAGTGGTGAGAAACAAACTGACAAAGTTAGCGAACTACACTCATTTGCAAACCAATTTGGTTTTTGCGAGAGACTCACCTGGAACCCAACGGAATCACTCGCTTGTGATGTCCCTAAGCAACTGAGTGTGCTACCCCAGGCCGCCTCATGTTCCAGTTGCTACAATATTCGAGATACACGTATATTTGTAATGCACTACTCATAAGGTTGCTGAAAATTCTTCGACTGCCCACGACAGGTTTCGACATTCTTGGGGCTCATCAGGCAGGCACAGTCCCCAAGTTTTCGTCAATCTTATGTTCTACTTGAATCCCAATTTGCACGAAATTAGCGAAATACACTCATTTGCAGAGTTAGAATAGGCCACGACTTGACCAAATCATCATTGCGAAAACACCAGCTACTGGATCACGTGAATCATCAGACTATTAGTTTCATAGAACAGATGCGGTTTTATGTGATTCAATGCCCATCATCTAACCACAAGTCTAAATTCAGCTGTTCCAATTAATATATGTGAAAAAAACACGACACTTACCGTCATCATCAGCATTGAGCAGCGAGGCCGATGTGTCTTCAACCAGCGTACATTCAATCAGGGATATTTTCCCGTAATTCTAAAAACCAGAAAAGCCCGATAAAAGTACCTTTTTCTACTAACCACGGCTCATGCATAGTTTTGACTTCTAGTTTGTATAAGTTAAAAACCCAGGTCAATTTTCATTAGGAATCAATACATTTTACTTGGCTTGGCGACGATCACAGTAGGGCCATTTTCATGTGTCCAAGGGAAAGGCTAACCTACAGGTAATCAGCTACCCTACAGATAGTAGATAGGTTCTTAAAACTCTAAAAGAGCGAGCAAGTAAAAAACAAACTGTCAAGATATTACAACTTAGTGATATCACGTCCGTTATCACAAAACGTCTAGCCAGGGAAGTCCCAGACTAAAGGGGCCCCACTAATGATGAGGTTGTCCAATCCAAATCCCCGAAGCAGCCATTTCTATATCCTGTGAGCTTTTTTGGCCCCGATCGATCCAGCAGAGCGTACAATCAACGAGAGATGTACGGAGAGACATCCCATAGTTTCTGCAGGAAGTGTCTTTGTATGTCACTATTGAAGAAGTTCAGTTCAGAAGTCCATCCACTCCAACCGTTTATAACACTCTTGGTCCGAATATGTTGCACAGAGGCCACCTCGCGTTTCATTTGGGTCGATTTTTAAGCTATCGATACGTTTTGCTTCATATGAAGGAATTTGCGCGCAGGACCCACGGAGATCCTAAAACTGGCCTCACCCTTCTTGGTCCCTATCCACTAAAACTCTCTGAATCTCACTAGTCTTTTTGCTTTCTTGATGACCAAATCGTAAACGAGTGAACTTGTGCACTCAGCTGTACAATTATGGGAGACTAAGCAAAATGTCTAAATTTTTGATGAGCGGTTGTTACGACATGCACGTTCAGCAAGTGTCATGAAAGAGAAAAACGAGATTGTTAAAACGGTTTACTCAGAAATGAGAACTCAACTGCAGCGTCCTTAGTATGAGTCCCAGGAAGGGCAGAACTGATAACGAACTATACGGGGCTTCCAAAGACCGTGTGAACTTGGACGTATTTTACAATCATCTCGTTCCAGAGTCGATTGACCAGGCAGTATTCAACCAGTGAGGTAGGAAACATTGACTGAACTAGCGTGCGGACCCCGGACCCCCATACTGAGAAGTCAATGCTCTGAGAGCCAGAAAATGCCAGATCACATGATACGAACTTGAGACCGCAGGTCAGTAAAACTATAATCCAATCCGGTGCAAGCTGGCTAATCATGACTGAGCACAAAATCCCAAGCGGTTTCAAAACTCATTAGAAATCTTTAGGATGTGCACTGTTGATGATTCTCGATGGCGATAAATGCCTCTCAGGTTCAAGATATTTGGTTGCAAAGTCTGAAGCTTCCAGAGTATTTCAAGACACTTAGTGTCCCTATATGTGTGTGTAGTACATGTGGAAAGCGAATGTACGTGGTAAAAAACTACTCCGCTGAACCCTCTTCCTTCGTAATTCTTTTAAAATGATCCGATATTGTTCAGGAAGAACGCCACAGGTGTTTCGAAGATAACATGGCTCAAATGATCAGTAGGTGACACACGGCGCTCGAGAAGAGCGGCAGAGTAAATTGGGGATCACGCTGCACCACGAAAAAATATCGTCAGTGGACAGCGCGCCAGTTTGTCTGACCGGAATCTAATGCGCTTAATGATGTGTTTGCATTTTTCGTACAAGCATTTATTTCCACTGGATAGAAACAATATTTGAGTACTGGCATGCCTCACAAAAGAGCATGTATACCGAAGAAACTAGAAATTTGTGACAAGTTTAATCGAAAAATATCAAATTCAGAATGCAGATCAATGAGAATCGGACAGTCGGTTCTTATCACCGCCAACGACTTATGAGACTGGTCGATGCATGATAGAAACCGTTACAGTTGATAGCGCGTTGCTAACCTTGACCAATCGGAGCCTTCCGTTATTCGTCCTTGCGGTAATGAGCAGATGATTGGTGAACAGAAAGACCTGTCTGACTGCCTCTTTCTTCTCACGCGCAGATCCACCAAAGTTGCCCAGCCTGGATCGTGAAGAACGTGGTTTATCGCAAATCACCTGTATCAGAGTACCTGTTAGAATGCAACCAATGACAAGTGGAATCTGGGGAGTGTTGCACAAAATCATGCGTTCATGCGAAACAACAAGACACATGTTGAGTACGCTAGAGTTCACCTACTGAGAGATCAGGTGTGCTGTCCTCTTAATTCGCGTTTCCTGAGCAGAGTTTTTAGACAATAAATTGCAACTCTGAAGTTGTAACTGAGGAGACAATTTCTAAGACTTACTCATGAATGAAAATACTGTACAGTATATTGAATATGGACAATCTTGAATCCGAGATGGTTGAATTACCTCAACCTACCTTGTTTCCCCATATGGTAGAACTGATTCGTTACTAAATTTAGACGTTTATTCAGATAGTTAGCTGGTAGGGCGCCAGATGAATGTGTTAGAACAACGACATGGAACGTCGACCGTAGTGGCTCAGGGAGTAGATTACTCGGTCAGAAAACAGGTCATCGTTTCGTCTACCACCCCTTGAATCAGCGACCATGCCTGTTCGAGAACTTAAGCCGTATCCGATACAGCACAGAGTTGCATAGCGTGTGGTAATATTCGCCTATGACGGTAAGAATCCCAATCGAATTACCACAGAATAACCGGCATCAGTGTTTGGTGAATTATGTTCACACAGGTGACATGCCACCTTGATACTGAAAGTTCGTTTTCTACAAAATTCCCTTTTTTCGAAGATGAGGCACCGGTATGTGGACTGAATACCTCATCAGGAGAGCCTGTGGCCCTCTGGTCTCTATTACTGCTCAGTTATCGACCCAATGTAGCTAGCGGCCCTGTTATCTCAGCTGTGACCAGTTAGTGCCAGGTTCCAGCACCAAATAGATTCCTGATTCCGTTTCAAAAACTAAAATCTAAAACACTTTTCTCATTATGGTGGAATTTTGTCCTGGATGCAGCAAAATTCTGGGAAGGGGTTCTAGTACCCATCCTGTGGCTGATGGTCTGGGGAAGAAGAACGCCAAATTAGAGGAGTGAACCTTGAAACATTAAGCACGGCTTTTCTAATACAGGACTAAGAGGTTAGAGACTATCAAGCCATCAGCGCTTTTTGATGATTCCGAATAAGCAAAAAAAAATATAGCTCCAAAATTACATCTGGCCACTTACAGAACGAAATGTTCATCGATATATTTATTTTGTGCAAGTCGAACGGATGAAACGAGCGGTGGCTCACGAACACTTTGTCACTGAAATATGGATTAAACATTGTCTCGACAAAGCACTAGTCACCTGAAAAAATGTCTGTTCGCAAGACAAGTGACACGAGTTACTGTGTGGGCAACTAGTCTCCATGAGAGGCGGACGAGTTGATTAAGCAAACCGCCATCATAGCCTTCTTTGATGGGGGCGCAAGGCGAACGTCGCCAACTCAAGTGTGAACCAGCGCACCAGAGACGCGATGCGCTGAACACCCAAAATGACGCAGAACTAAGACTTTAACTTAAATGCCGATAACCAATTCCAATCTACTACTACTGAGTAATCAGCAGCTCAAAAAAGGCTAAAAAAATTACGTTGGCGCAATGGACCTAGGGCTGGAAGGAACTTGGGCGAACACTTGTTTCCGGAGTTCGAAAAAAATGCTCACCTTGACGAACAAATACTTGATTGACATCCAACAGCAACTCGCACCCATCTACAATCATACGTTCAATCGCCAGATTTTTCCGAATGTTCTCCGTTTCACTAACCTCATCGTGCATAATCTGTCCGGGGGGAGCGAGAGGAATAAAACAAAGAAATGTAAGTCGCAAGACAAATGAGACAAAGAGAAAGTGACTCATTCCCATTGGTTTACTTATCAACCGAGCTTCGACAGAGTCAAATGAAGGCCCTTAACGTGCACACCGTTCCACCGAGGTAGGCGTCTCCTGGGTTTATGGATGACAATTCACAGAAAACTTGAGACACCCTTTGAATACACAGAAAAGCAGGAATGCTTTAACGCCACTGCTGATATGAAATCCTCCACCACGCCCAAGTCTTACGAGAACACCTGGAGACAAAATTACCTGCTTACCCATGTTTTTTTTCACCACAAATAACGTCCCTTTAGGAAAGGATTTCAATGGTTTACTGGTCACCAGAGACCTAGCATAGGCACTGGAACATCGAACCAAGCCATCATGTCATCTGTGCGAGAGTGGCTTCGATGATATCCCCTTATTTTGCCCGTTGGTCTCACTTTGTTCTATTTCAATGTGCACATGTGTGCGTATGACATTTTGATTGATTCTGCTCCATTACTGCCCCAGGTTTGGGGGCACTATCACTTTTCTGTCTGTAGGCTCGCTGCTCTAGTGTCATCAGACGGACCCAGTCTTAAACCCCCGCGAGACAGAACAGGTGTGAGAGGTCCGCTGTTCCACTAGAGTACCTCAAACTCCTGACCAAACAAGGCAGAGATCGTCCACATCCCAGAAATCGCTTGATAATGCTGATTTATTATACCAAGAACGCACACCAGGGAAGCACTTATCTACTGAAACGGATTTTCTCCCTACAGACTCAATGCTTGTTGAAATTCTATTCCCAAAATTTTCATACCATTAGCAAACTATATGCCACTCGGGTAGAAGCATACCACACACGATTAACAAACCATTCAACTGAGAAGTTTTCATTCGAGAATCGAGTAAACAAGTGACCGCTTGATATGAATTCCGTGAGTTGATTTCACTCGTGGCCGACGGGAGGTCGCCGTTTTAACTAACCCCGGAGATCCGTGAGGTGCACACTGCCGATTATTTCCAATTAGAACGGATGAACTTCACTCTCGTAAGGAACTCCAGACCACACGTCTGTTGTCACGACGTCGATATTCTTTTGCACGCTAGTGATGGCAAACTTTATTTCAAAGTGAAACAGAGTCTGTGTAAAAACATTTATTTGTCTGCTTGTCTGCTTGTAGCTGAGAGCTATCGCAGCATTCTGAGTCCCGCAATCAATATGCACTGAAATTCAAGGACTTCGCAACTAATGAAACCTACCAACTTATATTACTGAACGCCGTTGTGTTAGGCGAAATTCCACACGGATCCCTCCTTAACGCTCGCACTCAGGTGCTGCTGTGGCTGAGGAGCCTAGCCAACGCAAGATTGGCCGAAATTTCGGGATGCTTGCCAGTCCATCATCAAGCCGAGATCTGATTGGTCGAAAGTCTGGACCCAACAGCCAATCGTGGCCCAGTATTGGCCGAATGCCAGCTGCCAATGGCACATCCAGAAAGCGTCAGAATTTCCAGAAAGTTGTTGCCGCTTACGCTACATATATGAAGCGCTGTAAAAAAGTCCTTTACCTCGTTTTCTGCGTTAATATACCTTGTGTAACTTTAGTGGTTATTTTGCCGTGAACGCTAGCTTGGGATGCTCAGACCGACAACTAAGCTGAGAAAAATACTGTTACTACACGTTGTGACCACGTATTTAAGTGCATCGCTGGCTGCAACCGTCAGAGGGAAGGATGGAATATCCAAACAGGATAAAGCAGATGTACATCTTGCTAAGGATGATCATTAACGTGAAGTGCTCTACGAAGGTCTCCTCATGATTGTTGAGAACTATATTCAAAATTCCGAGTTGTCTTTCTTGATCGCGCACTGCTTATAAGATTGCTGTGAACGGATCGCGAACCCTGACCGAGACGGCTCAAAGTTTAGGGCACGAAACTACTGACCGGAAGGTCCATGGTTCAAACGCAACCTCGGTAACTTGACTGCTGTTGTCTGAACTTGGGCGACTTGAGCCCTTATGCTTCATGAACCGAAAGGGTGGTACAGCTAAACGAAGATGACATCCAGAGCCCACTCCTCTCAGCTGGGTGTAGTTTTTGATCTACCAGCAACCTCATGTTTTATTTAAACATTAAATTTTACATAACTGTAAAGGGTCGTCGAAGAGCCTCCATCAGTCAAGAACGATAGTTTCAGCTTCCGAACGTCATTACAGACATGAAGTGGCTCTTTGGTAGCACACCAGGTTGTAGAATATCATGGAAAGGCGAGGGGGCGGTGTGAAGCCCAGCCGACCGGGTAACAACCTTGACGAAGAATCGGGGGTTTGGTCTGTGTGATGAATCTGTTGACAAGCCGTCAAGAGTTTTCATCGAAATATTGTTTCACAACTGGTACGGGAATATTGAAGAATATACCACAGACAGAAAGGCAACGAGGCGCCCTACTCGAAAAGCCAGTCAATATCAAATTGCATGACGATAGCCTGTGATTGCAGGTCAGTGCTCCTGAATTTCGTTCAGAGGAAAACCAATCGTGAGTGGACGGAAGAGTATGAAAACTTCTAGCCAAAAATCGCTGCTTCGAACCTCGTTAGCGATTTCGCGGGAAAAAGAATGTTGATGATTCCCAACGAGTGCGCCAAAGTGCAAATGTTCATGACCTCAGAACCGAGCCTGTAGCTACTCAGAAATAGGAATGAGAATGCGGTAGTTGAAGTGCTTTCATCGCATTGCTCTTATGTAAAGTGAGACTGGTCCAGAAAACTTCCAGCTGGCCTGCTAGCCAAAAAGTCATCGATTTCCATTTTGTTGGACTTGACCAGCCGTGAAAAAGGTGAGTGGCTCCTCTGGGTTTGTCGGGTAGTGCATTATGATTTTCAGACATGCACTGAATTCCCTGCCTGTCCGGTCATTTCTGAGAAAGCGTACATTTAATTGTTTGCCTCCAACCTACCATTCTTTAAATTTAGCTGGATAGAATGGCTTAGGTTTTGCGGGAAGGTCTTCAGAGGATTCTGAAATATTTCGGTGACACGTATATAAATCAATTAATCAATAATTGTCATGTGTTCTGTGGCAAGGAAATTTCACTTGTATGCTGGTCCCGCTTAGTAGGTTACAAGGGGATGGAGCAGAATTTTGCGATTCATCTGAACAGAATCCTACAGGTATCCGACATATTGCTGTGTCGGTGAGTTAATGCATATTAACGCAAAATGGTGAAGCGTGTAATATTCCACCGTCCCAACAATTGGGTTATGAAAGACTTGTTTTTTTTCTTCAGCGAAATCATTTGCAAAGGGTTATGAAAGACTTGTTTTTTTTCTTCAGCGAAATACACTCATTTGCAAACAAACTTGGTCTTGCGAGAGACTCACCTGGAACCCAAATGAACCTCTCGCATGTGATGTTTCCAAGCAACTGAATGTTTCAGTTAGTACGATATTCGAGATATTCACAGTGCACTACTCATAAAGTTGTTGAAAATGCTACGGCATTCACTTGCATAGGAATGCCATAAACGAGAGATTCAGCTGAGTTCAGGATAAGTCTTCCGCACAATCAAATTTGCTAGAAAATGAGTTTATTTCGCTAATTTTTCGGAATTTGAGTTCAAGTAGAACATAGGGTTGGTGGTAGCTTAGGGAATGCGTCTACCTGATGAGCTCCAAGAAGGAGGAAACTGGTCGTAGGGCGCTTAAAATTTTTCAGCAACCTTATGAGTATTGCGTTACGACACATCTGGTTAGTAATTGAGCTATATAAATGATATTAATGCTTCGAAGTACTAATCCAATATCTGGATCAACTGCGTGAGGCACTTGCTCTAGACGAGGACATTAGTCGTTGTGCCATTTTGTTCCACAAGATCTCCCTCCTAGAGCAGGGATAGCGATTCAAAGCATTCGTCTCTGTTGGGACAATCCTACATCTTGGGAGATTCTCCATAGGGCTGAAGAACTGTTTTGACATGAGGTAAAGTACACATTTTGTCGAAATGCAGTCATTCGCAAACTGAATTTGTGTTAACGGAAACTCAACTGAGTCCCGTTTGTATCGTTGATTTATTGAATAAGTTACATTAGGAAGCAGAAGCCCAAATTTGATGTTGTCCAACGTGCTGGTAAGTTCCACACGCAGTGAGCAGCACTGATAGCATTTTTAATTTTGAAAATTCAATTTAGTTTGACTAGGTTTGGAGAAGCCTGAAATCAGTCAGATTCTTCTGGGAAGTGACGTCTCTTCAGGGGGCTCGCTTGGGGAATTACTTTAGCTTCTTTCAAACCCGGCAAACCAACCCGGGATTACAGATGAACTGGACCAAGTGAAATTGCTATTACTCTCAGTATTGACTAGCTTACGATTTACGCTCAGTCACTTCATCCAATTGGAAAATTCACTGGACACCTTTAGGATTTGCTTACTGGTCCAGCGGTCTGCTGGACTAGACAAAGTTACCGGAGGGTTTCGACAATCCTGACTCTACGAATCCCGAACAGAGACACTTCCCTTTCACACATGAGTCAGAGGGATCCTGTTCAAGAAGAACAGTAGGACTGAGCAGTAAAGTAATATTTCCGCGATACCATGCATTTCATTGGCTAAAACAAACTGATCGATTTGTGTTAATCTTATCCTTGTGATATTTGCGTAAAACACAAATTATGGGACTAGCCCAGTCCGAGTGTTGATGATCAACGTCGATACCGCACATGGCAGTGAGGCTAAGTCCACCAATTACTTTCTATTTGATTCTGGAACGATAAAACTAAATGTAATCGGGAGTTGGTCCCGCATGTGAGGTTGACCTGCACCGAAAAGCCAAAAAGCACTGTTTAATCATTGTTGGAAACCGTTAGCACAATAGATATTGCGAATCAAAGAGAGAATCGATGTCTAAACAAATGTTTGAGGTCTCGTCAGATCACGTGGTGAGTGTTCGGTTGTGAGTATCAACGCAAGTGGGCTGAGAATAGTCTGCAACTTTGCTAATTTATGGAAGCATAATGGTCCGAAGCGCTTTAAAGCAGAATGGAAGCCTTTTGGGGCAGATCAACCCGTAGGCACGGGATATGGTTGAACAGTAGCGTCATTCTGTTGGAGTATCACATCAACTCGTCTAGTCGTAGCAACCAGCGAATAACTCACCACTAGGGAAGCAGGAATTCCACACACAGTCCACCGATCAATACTGATCACATACTCGTTAAGCATACTGAGAAAGCATCTCTAACCTCCTAAGTGGAAATGGCATCGTCACTCACTCACCAAAGTTGATAATGCACTCAGTTCAAACTAGACTTGAGATCGTTTGAATGCCACCTCCTGGATCGTCTTTTCATACAGGGTGGTTTTTGCATCTTTCGCCGTTTCTAGAGCACTTTCACGAAAGGCGATGAAACTTCTCTGAACCTGATGCTCTCTTCGGTTACCAATCAACTAGAGTACTAACTAAAGTAATAATGACCAACAAACGCCTAGTGCAGCCAATCAGAAGGGAGATGGTGAAAAACTGTTTTTTACCGGCTGCCCCGTCAAACTCCGTTTTCTGCACTATTCGGATCTCAACCCGACTGAGATACGGAACTTCCCGTATTGTCTCGCAACGTATTTTCCTGTCTTTCTGCGAATCTTGGGTGGCAGTCAAAACAATTGATTGTAGGGATTTGATTAGGCTTTGTTGGTCTGGACAAAGTGGCTGAGATTATGGTCCTCCCCCTAAGGTATCGCTTCGATTTCTAGAAGTTTCATTCGCAATGCACTACCCATAAGGCTGCTGAAAATCCGTCGACAGCCCACGACTGGTTTCACCCTTCTTGGGGCTCATCAGGTAGGCGCAGTCCTCGAGTTTCCGTCAACCTTATGTTCTACTTGAAACCAAATCGCACGAAATTAGCGAAACCTACTCATTTGAAAACTAATTTGGTTTTTCGAGACAGTCGTCCGGAAACCAGCTGAATCTCTCACCTGTGATGTTTTCAGGCAACTGAATGCGCTGTACCAGGCCGCATGGTGTTTCATTTGCTACGATTTTCAAGATATCGCGATACATGTATAAACGTAATACACTACTCATAGGTTGCTAAAAATTTGAAAACTAATTTGGTTTTTCGAGACAGTCGTCCGGAAACCAGCTGAATCTCTCGCCTGTGATGTTTCCAGGCAACTGAATGCGCTGTACCAGGCCGCATGGTGTTTCATTTGCTACGATTTTCAAGATATCGCGATACATGTATAAACGTAATACACTACTCATAGGGTTGCTAAAAATTCTTTAGGTATCTTGCAAGGAATAGGCCTTTCATAATTACAAACTGAAGATAATGGAAATTAATTAAAGTTAACTATCACACCTCCTTACCGAAACACACTCAGTCACAAACCAATTTTGTATTGCGGGAGACCCATCTGGAACTCATCTGAATCTTTCGTTTATTATGAGCCCCAAAAAGGGCGAAACCTTGGGCTGTCGAAGAATTTTCACCAAACTTACCCCCTGCTTGTTTCAGCTTTCTTTGTGGTTTTTAGGCTCCACAGCGACAAAAAAGTGCGAAATCACCGACTTTTCGACTAGTCATCAAGTTTAATGGTGTCCCGGCAACACAGATGCCTAGTTATCCCGACTAAGGATTGCCGTGTTCCAGGCTCAAATTAGTCCGCTAAACATGACAACAGGAATAGGCATACCCCGTAGGTCACCTTGAGAGAATGCACCCAATTTCATGACCACTCTTGGTTTTCCTATCCTTATGAGCTGTATTAGCTGTGGTTTCATAGAAACGGCTTGACTTGGTGACAATATTGCTTGTGTTTACTTTTAACGGGGCGTCAAACGAAAGTCTGGTTTATGAAAAATTTTCAACTGTTCCATTGAGAGCGATATTCGGGATATCGAAGAATCTTCCCATGACACAGCATACTAATTATAACACTCACACAGTATTTCGTGCAAACGAGACCATATATCCTTGACTGTTTGTGAATCTATCGAGGGTAATTCATAGTGAGAAAGGAGAACCTCAATTGCAGTAACTTTTACAACCCAACCTTTAGATCACATTGGGTGACCTTGGTCATGAGCCTCATCATCATCACTGGCGGCCACACCAGAAGAAAACGTTGACGCCCCACTGCCATACAGGCATCACAGTGCATCTGAATAAAGTCTTAGACGGAAAGAGAGGAAATGAGACGGCGAGAGGGACCTAAGGCTAGCCAACCACCAACATCTGAAATTCCTACGGCTCCAACATTCAAGCAGACCATTTGAACAACATGGATGCCAGTGATATTGGTTGGCTGTAAAATCCTGAAGAATCTCCAGCCATGCTCAGAGAGGGGTACGTTAACCCATTCCTGGAAGGCGAAAGGCACCCAAATGTTTCACTGTATTCCTCATCCCGTTCTCCCACTCCGAATTAGTCACGAAGACAATGCTCTTGTCGACGTCAGGAACAAAGTAACGAGATTGTTTTGCTCAAGGCCAAGGTCATCGAAAGTAATCGAAAGTTTGGGTTATAAAAGACCGTACTATTAACGCTGTGCTTGTCCATTAACTGTCATTATACATAAGGTCTCATAAGGTCAATAGAAAATTCTTGACAGTTCAATACTGGTTTTGCCATTCTTGCGACTGAGCAGGTAGGCATATCCGCGTGTTCCAATCAGCCACCGTCCACATTGTACGCGAATTACACTCATTTACGAACTTCCTTAATGTTACAGGAAGACTGACTTTGATCTACCGTTTATGCTATCCTTCTAAGAGTCTTTAGTAACCTCGTGAGTAGTACACCACGCCTAGAAAATAATTTTTTGCATGCGATACTCAAGATTTCTATTCCACTGTATACCTACATGTATAGATTACGCAAAAACAAGAATTCAGAACTACATAATCGGATAAATGAATCAGCCACCTCCCAAAAACACCTCGGAGAGGCTTGATTGGGACAACATACACACTGTCACAGAACTATAAGGCGAAAGTAATGTTTTGACCTAGCAACCCCGTTGAATGCGCGGGCAAGTAAAAATTTTTCGTTACGCACTAAATTCAAGGGACTGTGCGAAAAACGCGAAACCCCATGTGCAAACTAGACACAACCAAGACTTCATCTGCAAATGAAGCCAATCTGTGCCAAAGTGCTGTGAGGTACTGCACAGTGGTTTCGTCCTTGTAAGGAATCACCAATATGCCACGCATCTCCCGAGCACAAACGGAGGTCTGAACCCGAGGCTTTCTGGCTCATCATCATCGACAGTATAACATCAGTGTTTGTCACTGATGCTTCGCTGCTGTACTTTCTGGCTAATATTTGGGGGCAAAACCATTCGGTAGCGAGTGGGTGAGCATCAGTGTGCTTAACTATTACTCAGGCAGGATATAGTGTTATTCACACTTCAGTCATTGAATTACATCACGTGACCACGTGTTGACTGACTTTTCAACTGACGACTTGTCAGATCGAATTTTCACATAAATCTGATCAATCGTGTCTTCAACCCTGAAGTGTAAGGAACTAAATTTCACGAAACAGTACACCGCAGAGGGTACTAGATGCCTCGCTCAGGAACTCGCATGCCAAACGTTCTTTTGAAGAATGTCCAAAATGAGAGATCTAGTTGAATCTCTCGTTAACTCCAAACTAATCTTCAAGTGGTCAGTGTGTTAGTTGTGTACAATCTAGTGTTCGGTTCGGACATAAGGAAACTACGCCTATCTGATGAGTTCGGTGGTTGGCTGTCGAAGATCTTCAGCAACCTTATAGGTAATATTCTGTAATGCACAGATAAGCTGACCCGATAGAAATAAAGCTTTTGAATGTTTTTGCGTCAATGGAAGATTTCCTAGAACGTCAAGTTTCACATTCCTTGACATGTCAGTCTAGAAAACCGGTACCTTTGTTTGGAACAGTGCTCGCTGCTCGAAATTCGCTGACCAATCAGCCTTCGAAAATTCTTTAGTTGACTTAAAACCTATGAGAATTTACTGAAAACATGAGTAGCAAGACCGATCCGGCGTGAGCTTTATAGACCCGTTTTTGTCCATGTGAGCACGTTCGAGTCACTTTTCGAGCTGTCGATTCATTCGATAGAAAAAGTGCAGAAATGTTCAAACCATGGTATCAGGAAGGTCAGATCCCTGAAAGTAACCTAAGAACGCCCGAAAACTACTGCTCCATCAAAATCTCAACAGGAAATCCGGCAAGCATCCAGGCCAGTCAATCATTCAATCAATTCAGCAAAAGCTGATGGGTGTTCATGCACGCCACAGAAGCACCACCGAATATGATCAGCGTTCAGGCATTTGATAAAGGCACGATCGATGTTGACGGGTGTTCACTAACGCCTATTAGACAGCCTGGTTCAATGTCATAAAGTGTCCTTTAAATAGATTGGGGCCATTGTAACGTTTGCTCTCCCACTCGCTTGTTCGGAATGTAGCTGTTGTGTTCTCTTCTGTGAGTCTTTTTTCAGGCACTGGGCACTGGAGCGGGTCAGCAGCAGATACCACAGATTGGCGAACCAGCAGATATAACACATGGTGGATTTTTTTGTACGATCTTAGACTAACTGGTCGCTGCCATCTTGATACCAACGTATCTACCAGGAAATCGATGAAACGTGATGATCTTCGTTGGTGTTGTTCACCATTCGCTACAGACAAGCTCAGGACCCCGACTCGTTGTCCGATGCTCACGACGTTCCCAGGCTATCCAGTTGTCAAGGCTCGCAATCAACATAGCCATTCGAATGTTCCCCAGGCGTGAACGGCACGGACGTACCTGGCATGGATGACCTGAATGACGCGGATTTGGTACACCCATACAACACAACTCAAGCCCCTGCCCTATTCAGTCAGCGGCGGTGGTAGGAACATCAATGGAATTAGAAACTCACTCACTGCACAACCCAGTTCAGTAGTATAAACTCAACATTTTACATCAGATTAAAATACGGAAATCCAAGAAATCAGCGTTATTGAAAAGAAGTGAAAATATCCGCTGCAGGATCCGTAGAACGTGTATTCATGTAATTTTTGGTTACAAATTCGTTATTCTCTTCTGGTCTATTATTCCGATGATTCTGTACCAAAGAGGAGAAAAAACAACAGACTCGATTTTCGCTCTTATTAGAGGCCATAAGCACTGCTTTTTCTTGTTCATGCCAGGATTCGAACCCCGGATAGCCATACTAGACGCAGCTGAGTCATCAGGCCTCAGCAGACCAACGTGTTCAAACTTAAGTGATGTGGCTGGTTGACCCAACCTCAGCATTACGGTGTAGGACAAAATGTGAGTTCAACAGTCAACAAAATACGGCTATCGTGAACATTCTTCACTGGAACTGGGAATAGAGCTGTCCGAACAGTTTCGGTGTACGTGCACACAATTCATCAAGCCCTGTTTATTGACGACCCGGAAATTCACGTTACCACTGGTTGCAAAAAATATAAGCACCGAGTTCTAATCTGCCCAACTGCAGCATTTGTGATTGGTAACGTTATTAGGCTACGCAAAGGGCAGTTGTAACTTTTGTAGTTGCAGAATTTCCACACATTATGTGACGAAAGTCATGAAGGCATGTAAAACAGATCAATGTCTTGCTTCAGACCATGCTCAGAATTTCTAAGAAATCTGACTACTCAACAGTAGTCAGGTGTTAGTCCCGACTTTCTCCCGCCCGCCGTGAGATTTTGACTGAAGACGTGGTGCCTCAGCGCTAACCACATGCTGGCTTGTAGCCAAATCAGCACTTACGTTCTTCTACGTTGTCAGGATATTTACATTTTCCGCGGAAAATTCCTTGTTAGGGTTGACAACGAGGTTCATTACTAAATTTAGTACGCTTGAGTTCAAAATAAAGTCGAAGGACCAGGATTCGAATGCAAAGCCGGCAATAGACGTTTGACTGGAGTTTATTTTGTCCTGCTGAGCGTATGTATCTTCAGTTCGCAATGCGATTCAAAATGACATTTAACGAGGCTTGGATGGGTATTTTTCGGTCCGCTGCTCCAGTGACAGGGCCGTTGCCAAAGGCTGTGTGCGACAAAATAAATATATGCGATGTCCAAAGAAAACTGGTAAACAGGGTTGGCGAGTTTCTACTGATTAGAAAATCATAAAGGTTGAAAGAAATAGGTTTTCTGTGACCGTGTTAGACAAGACTTCGAATTGCTAAGTTTCAGATAAAATAATACATTACACGGTCTTCCAAAATTCTATTCTAAACGCTGTTTGTCTGTCGAACAAACGGATTCGTGGAGTTGGAACAACAGACAAAGCCAGGATTACAAAAATAACACCAGGTGGTTTGCAACTAGACATGTTTTTACCATGAGAACGGTCAACATTCTATACGTAAGTTACTGATGGTATCGATTTCTAGCTTCTCGTTGGAGTCGGTTGTCAAGGTGTCACCCCCTTGATTGCCTGTCTCAGTTTCTCTGGTCCCTCAAACTTTGTTGACCAGTTAACATTTCTGGTGTGTGTATAGCAGAACTTGTGAAATATGGAGCTGCTTGTTTGCTCACATAGGGGATTTGAATGCGTAAGGCAAAATCACGTGGCTGGTCCGGCTTCGTTTTAAACGGAGAACGGTCACGTTCCCATGCTCATTTAGGTGTCAAGAGGAGACTCCACTTTTGAAAGAGTAAAAGACGCAGTAAAATTGCTCCCTGGTCTTATTTTAAGGCAAGCAAATCAGACACCCAGACATCGATTGATTATTGATCACAGTTTCAAATCGATGGCTCTAAGCAGTGGTTAGTTGACTGATGTTCACGCATAAGATATCGAAATGGCAGGGAATGACGTTTCGTGGTTTTTAGGTCGCCGTCCGTCATCAACTTCCTCCTCTCTGGGAAATAGCATGAGGATAGTTGTTTAGGCTACAAGTTATGGAATACAGGCAAAAGTCTTCTCAACTGAATACCCTTATGCAGTAAGGCTGTCATGCAAATCGTTTTCAAGGCAGGCCAAAAGCTTTTCCATGAGTTATTCCTAACCAAGTAAAAACATCCCGGATTGATACAAATAATATTCTCTGAGATTCACGTATCCACTAAAATGAAATGCTTTGGCAATTAATTAGCATATTCACACAAAGCAGTCGCAAGTAATTTGGTAATTACCACATGCAACCTACAAATAAAACTGCACAAAGTCGACATGGCAAAGTGGAGCCACTCTACTGTGAAGTAGTAAATTGCTCCAAGCGTATTGACTTGAGGAACGGAACCAGACAGGCAAGTCCACAGGCATTCAACCGAATCAGTTGTTCCAGTGTGTATTTCATGACAGCCAGAAGAGAAACTTTGATGTTACTAGTTCGAATCAATTGCATCAGCCGCAAACGTAAAACGTGAAACCCTTGTGACAACGAAGTGAAAGTCCAGGGGGAATATTGGATGGAGTCGACCCAGAAAGGGGGCTACGTGAAAGGAATCTGCGGATATTGAAAATGTACTGAGTTGCAGATGATTCGTCAACATTCAATGAGGTGTCTTCAGATCGTAAACAGATGGTATATTCATGATGTCTTCGCAGCTGGCTAAGAAACGTTTACAAATCACTCACCAGGCTCGGCAAATGGATACAGGATAACGGAGAAATTTTATTCTAGAAAAGTTTCGTCCGACGACCGCTTGAAAATACCTCATTATACTGCATTCCGGTTCTGGTCGTCACAGATCTTGTTGGTAACCATGTATTATACAGTACTAAACGACAGCTTCAATTCACTATAATTCGCATGCATGAGGCCAACTAAATGTTCCCACCTTCTGTGAACTTAATTACTGTTTCAAACTAGGTCCTGGAATTCTGTCTTTTATTCCATTTATGGGTTCATTTCCGGATCCCGTGACACCTTTATCGAGAGAGCTGACCAATGTATTTCTTAACGACCTTGGAATACACAAAACGTAGTCGTTGAGGGGCCTTCCTTCACAATCGACTAAATCCACAAGCTGTCACATCGAAATAGAAGTTGCTGATGTCTTTAAGACAGGCCACTTGTTTGGCTGGTTGCATACCTTTATCGTACTGCTGTGCGATTAAAACCCAAAACTTCTGGCTTTGTGAGAAACATTATTGATAATAACAGTGGATCCAAAAGTGTGCGCTCACAAGTCGCCGATGTAAGCTCTTTACGTATACCGGGCTCTAACCCAGGACATATGGCTGTCAGTTTCTTTGTACCGTTCGACGTCTTGATCATACAATGCAGCGGAGTCCCACGAGAGGCCATTTTCGTGTTCACTGAACTCACTGAGTGTGGTCTCAGACAAGAAGAACAGACTCGCCCTACTTGATCATGCAAGCCTGTGCCACCTTATCACAGTGGGCCACTGAAGCAGGTGGAACCACCACATTGTTCAGTCGGCGGTTTCTGGGGTGTCAGAGGGTTAACCAGTGAACAAGCATGTGATCAGAAGGCCGTGGCGGTACAAATCAGCAATTCTTAACCTGTTTTAGTGACTCTGACGGAATAACGCTACAACTTAACGCCATATCACGCTGTTAAGTTTGCTGGATACTCTTTGACAGACCACGATCGGTTTCTCCCTTATTCTGGCTCATCAGGCAGGAGCGTTTTCCTAGTTTCTGTCAAGCATCTGTTCTAATTAAACCGACATGGGACAGATTTCGGCAAATACTCACATCTGCACGCGAATGTGGCTTGACAGGGGACCTCTCGTTTGTGATGGTCCACTGCTACGCTGCACCTATCCTATGAACCACAGAAACTGATGAAGATGAAAGCCGAAACGCGTGCTCTAAACAAGTTCTCTTGCAAAGCCATGGTAGACGAAACACACAACCCTTGAAAAAAGCTATTGATATTTAACCGAGATGACCTCAGTCTGGGAGTTTTAAGGGTAGCAACGGCCAATCATTTCGTTGTATAGATTCCTGCTATTTATCCTCCGAATCAGCACTATCTTCTACTGAAGTAAAGAATTTCAGATCGCAGTGTACTCAGATTGGTTTTTAGAAAGTAACAGTATATAAGAGAAGTAGGTAGCTGATAGGGGAGTGGAATTCGCCCAAGACTTGCTGTTCTGTTCTGATTTCAGTACTATTCCTGGAATATACTCCATTCTTGGGAGGCCATGAAGGTCTTTCATAGGTTGGCTACAGTTTTGCGCGGAATCACCTTCCAAAGATAGGCAACCTTCTGAGGGGAGAGACTAATCAGGGTTTAGCATCCCGAACTCAGTAAATGTGCAGTGTAGGACAAAACTAAACTCAACGTACAAAAGTCCATTCAACTCTATGAAAGTCGTGTGACCGCAGCACGTTTATTTAGGTATAGACATCCTGGAAGCCGACGTCAGAAGCAAAAAATATGCATCAGTAAACAGTGTTCATCAGTGCAACTTACAAGTTTGGCATTGCTATTGCAGAATGGTGTTATTACTGCGAGAAAACGACATATAATTTGGTGTCTTGAAGCCTGTAATTATAGACTCACAATTGACCACACGAAATAATTTATCGGGGCGGCCCTGTTCCTGGAATGAAAACAGATAACCTATCGAATTTGTTTTAATTATTTTATCATGTTGGCGGCAGTTTCAGGGGGTCACTTGTACTAAAACGTCCACCTCTATTGTGAGAATCCTAAACCGGGAACTAAAGCCTAAATCCTTCCATCCCGGCAGGCTCACATTTAGATCGGAATCTGGCTTCACCCGTATTGACGTTTAAAAGCAATACATACCACAGAACGCCTCGGGGTTCGTACTCAAGACGTACGACATGAAAAACCCATGTGATAATACTTCTCCGTTACCACACACCAAACAAAAAGTTTAAAAAAGCGAGTCTGACCAAGCAACAGTTTTGGGTGTTGTTTCACCTACTGATCGAACCATGTTTCATTAAGCGTCCGATGGATCAACGGCCTATCAAGATGTCTTATCCAAGCGGCACCTTTGCTTTCTTCAACCAGTAATTCAGGTTAGATATCCAAGAATCACTCAATCATCACTGACTGACAAATATTAGCTGGGCGAACTGACAAGGAGGTAGACTAAGACACACAAACAATGGACAGCTGAAAAAGTACGTCTCTATACCAGTTGCGATTATACTTTACAAACCAGGTGACTTGGACCTACAGCTTCATGGTGAAAGGAAGAAGGCCTTCGCTGCGGAGTTATTTATTGGAAATTGCCAACTGACCAGCTACAGACTATTAGACAAGGAAGCAAAACTCTCATTTGAATCTTATTTACAAAAACTGGACATGCACCTTTTCCTGAACGGGACTTCTTGAACTTTCCTGGATATTCATCGACTCCAATCATTCATTAGTCAAATTCAAGCAAATGCTACAAAGCGACTCCATAGATTCCGCAACAGACCTCCCTTTCCAAGAGACGCATAGCGAATTCACAAGAACAAAACATACTACTCGCATGCCTCTCCATCAGTAGTATCACCGTCACAGTGGTAGACTGTCAAATCTAGCGCTACATTTTGTGGCCGGTGAGGTAAGACAACTGGTGATGTCCGCTGAAAGGTCCTCCTTTGTAGCGAAATACACTCATTTGCAAACTAATTTGCTTTTTCGGGCGACCCGCCTTGAACCCAGCTGAATCTGTCGTTTGTGATGTTTCTAGGCGACTGATTGTGCTGCACCAGGCCGCCTCATGTTTCAGTCGCTACAATCTTCGGGATATCACGATGCATGTTTACTCGTAATGCACTACTCATAAGGTTGCTGAAAATCCGTCGACAGCCCACGATCGGTTTTGCTCTTCTTGGGGCTGATCAGATAGGCCTTGTTTATACACTATATGATTAGACGAGGTCACCTGTACCTTCTATTGGAAGAGTGTGCGTTGGTTCGGATAAGTTTGGTTTGATGCCAAAAGGGCTTTGGAGTCTGCGAAGATCCACCCAAATGAATCTTCGAGAGAAAAGTTTCATCAAGAAATTTTGATGGGATGCAGGGTCTGATGAACAGCTCAGCATCATTCAAAACGCCAGGCTTTTTTCAAGTACCGCACACATCGGAGTGTGCTAGTTGCTGTGGGAACACGCCTGCATGTTTTACTGAGGCAGTGTAAAATGCCGTGTGAAAACGCACCGCACCGGTGTCCTTAATGTCGCATTCACCGCGATTTATTGTCAGGCCCGAATATTCTAAATGGTTGGTGTGTTTCTCACTCACATTACCTCAAAGAGGGAGAAAGAAACCAGGTACCGTCTGCCCACTGATCGTAATTGATTGTACTTACACGGTTGTCCACTCAGTTCAGTGCCTATGTAGGAGGAAACGCGTGAACTCAACATGTGTGTACTCAACGTATGTGAACCCGACATGCGCGCCCCTGGCTCACGTGCGCGTCTGTGTCCGTGAGATGTGACCCTAGCGGCACTGCGTTGCGTATTCTGTTTTTTTTTTCAGGATTGGCAAAATGCACCTATCGGTGGGTGCATTCTAACCTTGAGGGAATCAGCTGTGTCTTGAATAGGTGCGCAAACAAGGCCAAAACTATATTCTCCCAGAAGGGAAAACGTGAAGCGTTTTGAACGTCCTCGATTAGCATAATCGGATGACTGTCTGTCTAATCTACCTCTGAAGGACATTCGAGTCAACCTCAACTCAAAAGCTGATAGACTGGGCTGAATGCGGCATACTTGCACCTGCTGTGTCGTGTGTCTCTAGCAAACATGAAAGAGCCCCAACTCATCATGACGTGCACACAGCCGTACAAAAACCGGACGACATTAAAGTACCGATCGATTTCACCTCCAGTGAACCCGAAAACTATTGCAGTAATATGGAAGTTTTAAAGTCAAAACACAGCGTAACGGGATGAGACGTTTCATTTGCCTTGGGCAACTTTTTTCTAGGAATTTTACAAAAAAATTGAATACGAATCAAATGCGGCCCCATTTGGGTCCGCTATCCTCTCTTCTGACTGGTGTCTTACTGTGGTCAGTTGACAGTCAGATGCGACCAACATGTTTGTTGCTCCGAAAATTCCCATGCAGAATAGGAACAGAGATGGACTGAACTAACAAATTTTCGGGAAGGTCTTTTCAAGTCAAACAGTTGCAAAGGATAAGACAGCATAGTTGAATGAGCATGGTGTCATGAGCAGGAAGTAAAGTGAAGGGGGACTATGGCTACCTAGTTAGTTCAAGTAATTAATAGGATGGCTTGTCATTGCGGCAGTGCTGTGGTTGTGTTAAGTATAATGTGTATGTGTGGGGGAATGAGTTGGACCATGGCAACTACAACATAAGAACAAAGCGTTTTTACCGACAAAGGATCGGGTCACTATGTTCCATAGTGATATCTTCCATCACTGCGAATGTGCTTTGCTGTACTGATCGGGGTTGATTAGCAGGCGCCTTGTAAACAATGCGGAAGCTCTGGTTGGGTATCACGTCTGTGTCTGCTTGATGTTGTACGACTGACCTGGCTATCGTCATTCTTCTTCCAGAAGCTAGTCAGGGTAGATGGTGTTCCTTGATTCATTAGCCTCCCGTTTAAGGGATCTCTGCTGGCCGACCTATTGAACAAAGTTTTCTTGCCGCAACAATCCGAACCTGATTCACAAGCAATCAGCTGTGACACTTTAATCTAAAAGATAGAATGCCAGTCCACGCCCAAAATATCTTAGTGTACTCATTCTCTTGCTACTGTGCAGCGAAATACATCGGACGCACGACTAGGCAACTCGGACAAAGAACGAAAGAACACAGTCCACCCTAACTAGGAACAAGGAGTACGAGAACCAATTCAATGTTATGTCTGGTTGTGTTAGCTCTGTATAACGGTACGTGTGACTGAGTGTACTTTGATTAGGGTGTGCCTCCGTTTGTGATGTATCTGTGATTCGTCATTGTTGAGATCCCTGCCAAGAATGCCTTCTAGTAGTCTAACCAACTCATAATGGACAAAAATCAGTTTTCGGACACTTACGGGTTATTAAACTGGAAAACAGTCGGCCCAGAAACTTTATGCATGTTTATTAACTCCCCTAAAAAAAGTCAGTGGAATCAATCTACGACTTTGTAAAGTAAATAATAAAATCTATTATCATCCTCAATGAAGCCTAGATAGAGGGAGTGAATGATGGATCTGGCAATCCGCACTGTGACCAGGTCGATTTGTGCTTCGACCACCACACCGTAGCTTTCCTAAATCACGTGACTCTCAAACTAAACGCTGATTGAACGGTGCAGGTTAACCAATGAGCTCTCGTCTCATCGAAACCCTGTTATTCGTTGCATGTGGAAATTCATTTGCAAAAGAGAGCGATTATGAATACCGCGTTTTGTTTTCAGGATATTTCGGTGTCTGGCACTTCCGTAGGTAGCATATTACTTGATTACAAGTTCCATGCACTGACACCTGCAGGAAAGCCTTTAAATAAAGTTTTCCTTCGTTCGGTATCCTAAGAGGCTTCGGTCTTCCGATTGAGAGTAACTGAAAATCCAGAAACTGGCTTGTGTACGTGAAATTAGATCTTACGGTCAATCAGTGTAATTGTATGTGTGTGCGTCTCATTTCAAATTCCTGCAAACGACGTGTTAGTGTTCAAGGACGAAGAGTGATTTCGCGTCCTGTCCGGCGTCTGCGTAGGAAGCCAGAAATTTGTTCAAACAGTGAGTCGGAGAAAAACTGAACGCAAATTCCTTGTCCAAAATCTAGATCAACCTGTCGGTCGATTGTTTGTCGAACACACCTATCCATAGGAAGCATGTTTCAACAGAGAAATTACGGGTTTTGGCGACTATACATCCAATACGGACTAAATTTAGTGCAAACAGACTTGCCTTTCGGTTGGTTTCGGTTTGATTCATGTTATTTCACTCGCCGTGCTTCATCCATTGAGTTAATATCTACTTCTGATTCTGCACCTTGGATGAACGCGCTGTCACTGCTTGCGAGTATTAAGCAATTATTATTATGTGAGTTCTGCTAAGTTGACACATTGGTTCGTGAGAGCTCTCAAATCAAGCCTGTATGCATTGGCTTAACAACAAACGCGGTAACCTCCTAACAAGCATCGGCCTGTCGCACGATTCCTTTTAATCGAGCTAGTCAGGATACAAATTATTAGGTTTTCCTTAAAGAAATAATTGATTGTATTACCTTGGGCACACGAATGCGTATTAGTTGCACGTAATCAAAGTTGTCTCGGCCACCAAAACAACTCACTTATACCAATGGATTGCTCTGGAAACGAGTGTACCGGAACTTAACACTGACAAGCAGGTGATCACATTCAGTCCGGTACCTAACGAAAATGCCATCTCATCAGGACAACGAAAAACATTAACAAAAATACGTCCTAAAGCCACCGGAACTACTTCCGCGCATGTGAAACTTGACTTAATTGTTATCCTTACTGTTTCACCGGACTCAATATCACTCTCTCGAAGATTTCAAGCCTAGCATGGAGAGATTTACCAGTCAGCCAGTCGGTTTCCCAGGTCGTGATATATCGTTGAAAATCTGCAAATAACTGTTCAACTCGACTAGAGTACTCGACCGCTACGTACGATGCAAATGTGGTTGTGTTCCCATGACCTTCGTCAACAGGTGCAGTCAGTACTCTGAAGTAAACACTTGACTCTTCACAGGAGTAGAGTACTCCTCTTGGCGTCATTTGTCGTCCCGTCTAACCAAGCTTCAACCCATCAGCAGACCACTGATATTGCAGTTTGATTCCTTGATCTAAACTGGATCGTAACTACTGAAAAGAAGGAAGGTTGCAGAATCGTCCTAAGCCTATGAATCCACGGAACAGGTGAATCAAAACTAAACTTCGGATGCGAAATATGTAACCAAAAGTTGCGATATTTTTTCGTTAAACCCACCAGACTTTTAGCTGACCACTGAACTTTCGCACTTAGTTTAACAGTTAGCCCAAAATGCTCGTAAATACTAGGGACCTTACTCTGCCACCACGAGTCACGGTTGTACTGAAACAAAATTACACCAGCGAATCACTGAGAACACGACTAGTGAAGAGAGTTTGGTTACTTCTTAGGGATCTTGGTCGAAAAAATCTCCGAGCATGAAAGAGCCGTTCCAGACTAATCAGTTACAATCCAAACTGAATCACTGCTGGTCTGTGTGCCACACTTAGGATAGCGTAATTTTCAAGGTATGACTTGGAACAAGTTTGTGATAAACGTGATACACTACTCCTAAGTTTGCTGAAAATTCCTCGACAGCTCACGACCGGTTTTGTCCTTCTTGGGGCTCATCAGGTAGGCGCAGTGCACGAGTTTCCGTCAAACTTATGTTCTACTTGAATCCAAATTGCACGAACTTAGC